ACATTAAATAAATAAATAAAAAAACAAATAAGTAAGTAAAGTAAGCAAGTAAAGCAAGTAAGTGAGTAAAAAAAATAAAAAATAAAATCAATGATCAAAAATAATAAGATCAGTACTAAAAAGCTGTACTAAAAAAATTAAATAGATAAAAACAATAAAAAAATAAATAAAAACAATAAGTAAGTAAAGTAATTAAGCAAGTGAGTAAAAAAATAGTAATAATAAAATCAATGATCAAAAATAATAAAAGCAGTACAAAAAAGCTGTACTAAAAACATAAAATAGATAAAAACTATAAATAAATAAAAACAATAAATAAATAAATAAAAACAATAAATAAGTAAGTAAAGTAAAGTAAGTAAGTAACAGAGGATCCCACAACTCACATGGTGTTAAAATCCAGAGAATAAAGTTCTTTTTGACGGACACTCTGCCAGAAAAGTTACACAATGCACCTTGAAATTTCATAGATTTTTAACAGAGCGTGAACTGTTATGTGACCCAAAGCGCAATTAAACGGTAAAACCTCACTGATTTTGTCGACATGTGCGTATTCAAAAGAAACTGTTTATCTGATTTCCACTAAACCACTGGCTTTTTGCACATGCAGTTTCGTCTTTACTCAATGTGAAACTGCAACGTGAACAAGATCGTGCTAGTTTTTGGTGCCAGTAAGTGACATTAGGATGTTTGTGTTTGCATGTTTTGAGAAAGCAAATGTTAATTCAGGGAGTGGAAATGTACTGTGTGAGGTGAGGGCACAGTGCAGGTCTTTGTGCTCACAGCTGCCTCTGATGCTGCCTCGGGTCTGCTCGCTTTGGGGTTTCTTCCCTTAGTGACTTGGTGCCAAAACACATTCATACTTGTTCCACCGGTGTAGTGCTACTTAAAGGTGTTTGTGAGAAAATAGTAAAAAAATAAAAGCGTTTTAAATCAATTCCTAGTTTGTAAAAGTAGCTGCAGTGCTTTCTAGTTTATAGTGTATCGTGGTACTTGTAATATTACGCTTTTTTCTGATCTTTTCTTTATGTTTCCTCATCAAAACATACTCCATATTTAGGCTGTGATGTCATGTGGTAATACAGGAAGTGCTCCACTGTGTTTTTAAACTCCACACACTTTCACTAGAATCATTTGGATAATTTCATCTCTGGAATGATCAATCTCTGCTGAACTAAAGGTAAAATTACAACTTCGTGAGCATTTTGGGCTTTGGAAATGTAGACAGACTAATAATAAAAGGTTACTCAAACATGGGTGAATAAAACAAAATACCAGTTTCGGTTTGTTTTTGAAGAGGTAAAATAATTACAATATGGATTATAGCTCACAACAGTTCATTTTGCGTAATATAAGACCTTTAAAGTTGGATATTGACCCACTTTTTGTGAAAATAGTAAAAGAACATTGTAAATGTTTGACAATTTCTGGTTTTGTAAAAGTGGCTGTAGTGCATTGTACAGTTTCTAGTTTTATAGCTGTATCGATTTTATTTTGTTTGGCTTTAAAGCTTGAAAATAGTGCAGCTATCTGTTAGAAGATTACAGATTTAAATCAAAATATTCAGGGCTTTAGAGAAGGCGATAATAGATCATGTGGTAGAGTGTCCACTGATCCAGAAGCTGGCGGTTCGAATCCTGCTCTTGACATACACTACCGGTCAAAAGTTTTAGAACACCCTCGTTTTTCCAGTTAGTTGTTGCAGTTCAAGTCATGCAAGTCCAATGAAGAGCTTGAAATGGTGCAAAGGTGTAAGAACTGAACATCCAGAGATTGAAAAAAAAGATAAAAGATAACAAAACACAAGTCCAAGCTCTGCCAAAACTACCTCAGGAAAAAAGAACAAGATGAACTGAACAGAAGAGCCAAGCAACCTACAAGTGCCACACATTTATGGGAACTTCTGCAACAGACTTGGGAAGAACTTTCTGAAGAATATTTGATTTCTATTGTAAAAAGAAGAAGCCACGAGTGTGTTCAGCTGTTATATCTGCCAAAGGTGGAAACTTTCATGAATCAAAAGTTTAGAATACGTTTTGGTCAATAGTAAACAGTAAAAAAATGAAAAAAAAAGTGTAGTGTTCTAAAACTTTTGACCAGTAGAGAGCAGTCAGATCCACTTACACACAGGTCGGCGCATTGACGGTGAAGATGAATACTGTCGTCGAGTCCTTGGGCAAGGCACTTCACCTCACCTCTAGTGCCTGCTACACTGATATATATATGTGTGTGTGTGAATGGGTAAGTGGTTTCTTGACGTGAAGAGCTTTGAGCGCCTTGAAGGTGGAAAAGCCCAAGATAAAAATGTGACCATTTACCATTTAATGTGGTAATACATAATGCAATTGTCTTGGGATGGAGCGAGAATTCCCACGAGACGAAGCACAAGATTGGGTCCTGGAGAGCGAGATGAGATTTTGACTTGATTTGTAATAAATTATTTGTGTGGTTCAGTTTGAAATTGTACCCAGACAATGGTTTAATATTTTTGTGGTCGTTATAGCACTGATTTTTAGAACTACACCTTAACCCCCTTTTACCCAAGCCAAATGTAAAAACTTGGAAAAAAAATCTCAGATGATCATTTTGTTGTTCTCTCTCTCACTCACAAGTCCAAGATTAGTCCCGGTTTAGTCCTGTGTATTCCTGGCTTAGACCTGGTTTAGACCTGGTTTAGTCCTGGTTTAATTATGGTTTAGTCCTGGTTTAGTCCTGTTTCAGTCGTGATTCCGTCCTGGTTTACTGGTTTAGTCCTGATGTAGTTTTGGTTCAGTTCTGGTTTAGTCCACTTCTGTACACAACTTTTTTTATTTTATTTTAATTTTTTCATCATTTATCATTTCTATATCATTCATATCTGATGCTTCCCTAAAATTGTCTGATTAGATGTGAATCTTCTTCCTTTCTCCACACTACAAACAAAACACATGACTCTTCACTTAAATGTTGTTCAGTTTTTTGGTTTTTTTTTATGTGTCCAAACAGTCCTTATACCCAGAGCGAAGATCAGTGATTCTTACCAGCAGGAAGAGCTGTCGTGTCTCGCCATCAGGCCTCACCGAGTGTCCAACTGATTTAAAGCCCTCAAGTGTGGCCAGCATAAACAATTGCGGGCATGCCCACTGTGATCCTCGCCCTGTTCTCTCTCTGAGCTCGCCAAAGCAGCGGGGGCTCTAATTAGTCCTGCTGGCGTGCTGTGCAAATGAATGGGCACCGATTTGACCACGGCCTGGAGCACCAACCTCAGGGGTCTCTATAAACCATGTTCTAAGACCCCAAATTGGCAGAGAATTAGTCTTTCTCGTTTATTTCAGCTTGTCGCCTTTAGTGTTTGTTTGTTTGGCCATCAGAAGAACCATACAACTGTACAACCGCTCACCCTTATGTGACAGATAAACCTATGTCCTGTCAATCGTTATTTCATCTTTACACTGTTTCTCTTGTATATAACTGAGATGTATTTGTATTACTATAGTTCTATATAGTTCTTCAAGAGTGTAGTGGGCATGGTACGCAGGGGTACGCTGACCACCCACTTCTCCCGACGTGAGATATAAAAAATAATAAATATAAAACGGCTACAATTTAAATGTCAAACCAGAGCTATTGGTGAAAACAACCTGCACAGGCTCATGATATCTGCAGTACTGTTCCATAGTGACCTGAGACACGAGGTGACCAGGACTGATCCCAGGACTGAACCAGAGCTAAACCAGGACTAAACCAGGTCTAAAACAGGTCTAAATCAGGACTAAACCAGGACTGAGTGTCGGGACAGGCCCGGACGGAGGTGCACCCACATAGCCTTTCAGGCAACCGCAGAAGAAAGGACCGGCACAAAACTCTGCACCCAACGGGACTAAGCGCAGCCGACGCCCGATCGCGCTTTGCGGACACCCTGCTTCACGGTCTCAGGGTTCTCTCTTTTGCTCTCTCAAATCAAGATTAGGCCAGGTTTAGTCCTGGTTTATTCCTGATTTAGACCTGGTGTAGTCCCAGTGTAGTCCTGGTTTAGTCCTGGTTTATTCCTAGTTTAGACCTGGTTTAGACCTGGTTTAGTCCTGGTTCAGTCCTAGTTTAGGCCTGGTTTAGGCCTTGTTCAGTCCTTGTTTAGTCCTCCTGATTCAGTCCTGGGATCAGTTCTGGTTTAGACCTGGTTTAGACCAAGTTTAGTCCAGGTTTAAATCTGGTTTAATCCTGGTTTAATCATCGTCTAGACCTGGTTTAGACCTGGTTCAGACCTGATTTAGTCATGGTTCAGTCTTGGTTTAGTCCTGGTTTAGTTCTGGTCCAGTACTGGTTTAGACCTCGGTGATTATGAACGGCGTTAATGTTAATAACATGTTTCAGCATCATTTTGAGGAAAAAAACAGGTGGGCGGGTTAATCACATCGATGCCTTCATGAATCGCTTACCCCATCTTAAAAAAATCCCCACGACACCACTGAGCCTCCTGCTATTTTTATAGAATTTATTGTTACCATTTATATTTTTTTCGGTGTTATTTAATACTGTATATTGTAACGTGTGCGCTACTGTGTCCAAATCATTTCCCTTGTGGATCAATAAAGTTTATTTAAAAGTCCACTGTGCAGCGTTTCTAGTGAGAAACCTGCTTGTCTCCATGGAGATGTTATTGTTTTGCCTGGAATGTTCCATGATATGACATTAAACATTTTCACCTAGGATATGGGTCTATTGTTCTATGAATAGGGGTGACTCTCCACAGATCTGAACTGTAATGTAGCGTAGTGTGGAAGTCTCTTGTGATAGAAAGGTTTAATTTATACTGTGGAACATTCTAGATAAAGCAATAACATCTCTCCTCTAAAAATGTTACACAGTGCAACTTTAAATCTGAGTCTACGTCAGAACTTGCCTCCTGTCAGACTTTTTTCTCTTTATTTCATGATTTTCCAGTCCATCTCTATTACGGTTGATTAATTTGTGAAAGATTATTACATTGCAAAAGGTTAATTGTATTCTTCTGTGTTTTGCAGCTGGGCACAGAGTGGACCGCTCCCGGCGAGTTCAACAAGTTCAGATCTCAGTCGTCCAAATCTGTGCAGTAAGTACCAGTTTATTCTTTTCTTTTGATTGAATGTAACCATGGTGATTTTATTAACCCAGTGGTGGATGAAGTACTCAGTTTTGTTGCTTATGTAAAAGCACAGATATAAGGTGAAAAGTTACTCACGTGAAAGTATTAAAGTCGCTGTTTAAAAGTAGAAGAAAAGATTTTGCAGAGATTTTTAGAATATTTAAAGGATGAAATGTTGTGATTTTGAAAAAGAATTTAGCTGATTTTAAGTGATTCAATTGATTGGTTATTTTTTCTAGACATTTTTGTGTTTTTGTGTATTTGGTTTGCTCAAAGTTGGGACAGAAACTCTTAAAACTAAAACTAAAAAATAAAGTCTCAGCCATTTCAGCAGGACTCACACCATAAATAAAAGTACTTTTTACTTTTCAGTCCAGATCTAAAATGTGACGGAGTGGAAAATACAGATACACGTTCTCAAATGTAGCAAAGCAAAAGTAAAAAGCGTCCACTGTAAAGTTTACTTAAAGGTGCACTGTGTAACTTTTCGGGAGATCCGTAACCTGCTTATTTCTGTGGATATGTCATTGCTTTACGATTATTTAATTACAGATGGTTTTATCGCTCAAAAATACCAAGAAAAACAGACAATTTGACTGTGAACGAAGCTGCTTCTCCACAGATCTGACCTGTAACTTGCCTTGGTTTGGTCTCCATGAAGAGAGAAAGATTTGAAACATTGCAGACAAAGCAATAACATCTCCATGAAGAAAAGTTACACATGCACCTTTAAGTACAGATACCTAAAATGTACTTCAGTGTTGTACTTTTACTTTTGTACTTTGTTACCTTCTAACACAGGATTACACGAAGGATTAGGAGATGTTTTTTTGTCAAGAAGGAGACAGTTTTGCAGGAGTCGTCTTACAAACTTTTCCAAAAATAATGGATGGATTTCAATAATGTTTTAGAAAGGATCAGAGATTTATGAGAATGGTTGTTGTGTACAAATATAACAATTTCTGACACAAATGGGAGCTTTAAAGGTGCACTACGTAACATTTCTCGAGGAGGGTACGCCACCTGATGTCTCCATGGAAATGTTATTGCTTTGCCTTGAATGTTCCACAGTACAGATTAAACCTACCTATAACGAGGGAGATGAGCAGGTTACAGCACTACGCGACATTACAGTTCAGATCTGTGGAGAGTCCCCCCCTATTGACTAAGTGATTGTATTTTTGAGCCATAGAAATAATATAATAGAATAATAATAGAATAAATGCTAGATTTAAATGTTTAAAGTCATACCTTGGAACATTCCAGGCAAAGCAGTAACATCTCCATGGACACAAGTAGATAGTGGACACTCCACCAGAAAAGTTGCGCAGCACACCTTTAAGTTTCACCAGACATTTCCAGTTATGAAGTGAAAAGGTCTTGGTTAAGTCTAAAATGGGACAAACAGCAGGCGTCTAAAATGAAGAGATTATCTACACTCAACCTTTTCCTTTAATTGCAAAGAGCTTTCTGAGAAAAAAAAATACATAAATAAAAAACATTAAAAAAAAAACATAATCCACACGGATATCACTGCGCGTTGATTAATTAAAAATAAACTATTTTTTTAAAAGATCACAAACACTTCAAGGAATTGGTGAATACAAAACTAAGTCTGAATAATCATGTAATAATAATATTATAATGTTAATAATAATAATAATAATAATAATAATAATAATAATAATAATAATAATGTTATATAAAAAAGAAAACTCCATTCAAGTGCACAATTCAAAATAACGCTGCATTGTGTAACTTTTCTGGTGGAGGGTCTGCCGCATGCTTGTTTCTATGGCGATGTCATTGCTCTGCCTGGAATGTTCCACAGTAGGGCATTAAATAGGATGACCAAATGTCTGTTTTTCCCCAGACATGTCAATTTTTCACATCCTGTTCTGGCCGTCCGGGTTTTTTTTTTTTTTTTTTTTTTTTTTTTTTAATAAAGTGATGCAAATATCCGGGTTTTCATAATCTTTCATTGGGCCATTAAACTGAGCGTCTCTCTTAGCTCTCTGTGCACTCAGAAGGAGCGAGCAGAAACAAACAGTCGGTCAGCCTGCAACATGCCGAAGCACAAACGCGCATTTAACGTTGACTTGTACAAGAAATTCCCTGCTTTCCTTGGTCGAGACAAGTGTGAGGCCATGTGCACAGTGTACAAAGGAGGCACATATTTCAGTGTCCAGTGGGGGGGCCAGAGACCTCAAAGCTCACCAAGGACACCGAAAAACATTAAAAAGCTTTGCCAGTAGCTCAGTGTCGATGACAAGGCCCCACTTCCCACCCTCCGTACGATGTCCTGGTTTGACAAACGCAAATATGGTCACCCTAACGTTAAACAGCTCTACTTTACATTTATTCAACTACAGGTGGTTTTATTGCGAATTCCAAGAAAAACAGACATTCTGACTGTGAGCGAGGTCGTCTCTCCACAGATCTGACCTGTAACTTTCTGTTTTGGTCTCCATAAAGATAGAAAGGCTTAATACCATTCTGTGAAACATTCCAGACAAAATAATAACACTTCCTTAGAGTAAATAATTTGATGAACCCTTCACCAGAGAAGTGACACAATGCATCTCATGTTTGCCTTCTTTCTTCTGTTACGACTATATGCTGAAAGTTTTTTACCCATTTTGCGGTATATCACATGAAGTATAAATGTGTGCAGCCTTTATTATCAGTATTATTATTCTGTTATGAGCAGACAGCACCACACAGTGAGTGGGGAGTGAACGCGGGCCAAGACCTGTTGGTGTTTATCTGTGCGTGGGATTAATTGAGCCTGGCTTTCTCCACAGGAAGTCAGACTCGAGGCAAAACAGAGAGATGACAATGAGCAAGGAAGTAGAAACATGAGACAAGGGAATAGTCTGAGAAGAATACATTTTAAAGTTTTATTTTCAGCCTGAACAGAAGACCAAAAAAATGAGAAAGCAGATACGTATGCATGGTTATTGTGATTAAAGAGCCCATATTCTGATTTTTTTTAACCTATGTTATAATGTTTCCTCATCAAAAACATACCAGGAGTTGTGCTTTGTTTCATTCACACGTTTAACACTCAAATCCTGTATATTTAGATGGAGTTAGTCTCTCAAACTGAAAACAACTAAGGGTAAAAGGCGCTGTGAACTTGAAAACTACCACTTTATGTAGGGCTGAATGATCTATCACTTTGGACCGAAAATCGCGATCTCAGACAACACGATTTTGGGGGCGTCAAAGCCACGGTTTTTGCAGTGCTCCTAAAGACCAATTTATGGACAAAGTTTAGTTCTGCGTCGACTCAGCGCACACTGCCGGCGTCGCCTTGTCGCCGTCGTTTTTGATTTATGGATTTGCGTCGAGGTCTTTACACCACGAACTAATTCACCGCCACAACACTAGGAGGCTAGGATTTAAACTTGGTGTTCGTGTAAAGTTTAACATGAATCATTTCCGTTTCCACGACAGAAGTACAGTCCAGACTCATCATCAGCAGCACATCCCTCTTGTTACACAAAGAACCCGTTGTGTCCTTTAGTCCAACAGAAGATGACCGCCTCAGCGCACTAGGAGCCAACGCTTATAGTTTATTCAAATTAGCCATGTGGTTTTAAGTTTCGTTTCTGTCAAATGTACACAGTTGCGACCAAAGCTGCATTAACACAGTATTATTTAATGTATATTGAAAGAAAGGAAAGCAGAGTACAGGAAATGTCTGTAGAGCGGTGGTAGAGAGGACCAATCACAGCCCTTATTGTCTGCGTAAACTGGGCTTTACGGTCCAGTGTCAAATCATCGGTGCAGGACTCTGGTATGATGTAAGTCTCTGTGATGTTTGCAAATGTTCATGTGCACTGAAACTTGATATGAAAAAAATCGTGGATGAAATCGAAATCGCAATATGTGCCAGAAAAATCGCAATCGAATCGAAAAATCGTTCAACCCCTATACTTCATGACATCCCAAGATGAATGAAACCAAACACGAGGTATGTTTTTGAGGAGGTAACATCATTCTAACGTGGCTTAAACCTCACCGGAGTCAATTTTGTGTAAAATTGGACTCAAATTGCAAGTTTATCAGAAAATAAGTGAAGCTAAAAACGCTACACGGCTTGCACTTGTATAGTCAGGGGGAAATATTAGCTGACCTTTCCGCGTGGTTGTTTAACAGGATGAATTTTGTAATTTTGTGTATCTAAGCAATAAAGAACATAAATATGCAAATTTTGTCAATTAAAATCCACTTCCTTGTAACTGTGATGGATGGTTTCACTTTAACAATTTGACACATACTGTAAGTGCAAAAGCGGGCATTTCCCTGTTCTATTAGCCATGCATTATTTCATCAATTAAATTTATTTTTATTCTCACCTGTTTAACTTTATATATTTGAAATGCAGCTGGGATAAATTGAAACGGAAAACGAGCTACGCAGAGGAGAATATTATTGCACCGTGAGGTCTATTAACTCTTATTATGATGAAACGTTGTGATAAAAAAAAAGCTGCATTATTCACTGCTTTGATTTGGCTTCACACCAGTTGCTGTAGCTGTGGTATTTTAGCAGGAAATGCTTAAAGAGGCACTGCGCAACTTTTCTGGTGGAGGGTCTGCTACCTACTTGTCTCCATGGAGATATTATTGCCCTGCCTGGAATGTTCCATGATATGACATTAAACATAAATATGTAACATTTATTCATTACAGGTGTGTAGAGGACCAAACAGAAAGGCAAAGACAAGGTATAAAAATAAGTTTAAATTTTATTAAGTAAAAAGAACGTAATTTAACAAAGGCTTAAATTAGGTAAATCATGAGCAAAAAGCTGGGCCCAAGTGGAGTGACTTAAATTAAACTGAACAAAACTAAACTAAACTAACCCAACCAGACAAAGAATGGGGTGTTTAAACATGAGGGCCAACGAAAACTGAATACAAGTCGAGGGGATTACACAAAATAATTAACCAAAACTAT